TGATCTCGTGACTAATTTATTCCAGGAACGCTTTGAGGCGTAAAGACAGCGGCGTTTTAAGTCCGCTTAAAGGAGTTATCCTCACATGGGATAGGTAAATCATTCAAGGTACAGTCTTCTATAAACCCTTGGTGTTCAGCTAATGCAAACATATCGGTCCAGTTGGCCATGAACTAGCACATGACAGGTTAAAAAACACGACCACGCCCCATAAGTAAAATGAGAAAAGATATGGTACAGAACTGATTGTTACTATGGTGCTTCCAGTTTGCATCTATAGCGAAAGACAGCGAGAGAGAGCGTGAATTTTAAGTGGAACAAGCCACATTAGAGGAACAGACATTTAGTGGTGGGGGTTAGAAAAATTGTTGGTAATTTCACATTTTTTCGTCAGCTTTTCATTTTCGTATTTTTCTTGTTCAGATCGGAAGTTGGAATCTTGTCATAGTCACACTGCAATTGTGGTAAGTGCGATATGTCTCCGTAACCAGTGTAGAAATACAAATAGAGGTTGGGCAGAGTTGTTCCCAAACCATTGGTGTATCCAGGACGGAGAACTGATGTACACTGACTGTTAGTGACAGCGAAAGAAAGACAAACAGCCTGGTTTTGTGGTTTGCCAAATCAGACCAGAACCAACCAACAACTTATGCCAGTTATATCACTCCTGTTGTCCCCAACCGGGCACAGAGTAGGCAGTGTCTATGACCGGGTTTGAATGCCTCCAAGGCTCGAGAGCTCTTCACAACTGTATTATATGGGAAAATTTAAGAAATCTGTCAAACTATGACAGTGTACTAAGGCGAATAAGTGTGGTGAGACGTCGTTTGCAAATGTAGCGACATAGTCATACTTGCACACAACATATGCGCCTCGAGCTCTGTTCAGAGAAGAGCATCGCTAGCCCAACTCGTCATGTCACGAGATCAGCACGACCGTTGACTTTGCACTAACGCAAATTATTTTTAATTGATCGGTAGACCGGTAGTGATCAATAAGGTCAACATTCACTTCTATTCACACCGAGAGAGCTGTATCGGTGTCCTAAGACATCCCGGGGCGGAAAAAAGCAACGCAATGACTGAGCAGTGTATTTGTGCAACTAATGACACGAGACTGTCATGTTTCGCAAATATTCACGTGGCACTCGCCCAGGAAATCGCCGAGTTCACTCCACCATTGTTCAACTATTAATTGGTATTATTTGGTTAGTCATTTTTGTAAATTCTTCAATTCTTCACTAAAATGGCAACGATAATCTGTTCTTCGAACTGTTGGAAATCTTCTGCAGCTCTAAACTTTTAAATGACATGAATCGGTAATGATCGATGAACTCAAGTACTACATTGGAAATTTTCAGCAACCTATGAGGACCAGTCTACCATGATACCTGAGAGAATGAAGAATAAGGGGTCCAGGGAAGCACCGACAAACTGCTAACTTACACACACACAGGTGTACCCGCATTACAGTCGCTTTACTCCTATTGGTCGCCAATGCATGAAAACGTTTGCCTAAATTAGAGGGATAACCAGAGAGACAAACAAATCAATGGACTTAACTGGCCGTACGCAGTCAATCAATCCAACAGTACGCACTGAAAACAGACGCTTGACTGACGAAGAGAAAACGCAGCTATCGATCGATCTACCATTCTCTGTGACTGACCCACTCAAATGACAAGAGTACCAATCGCTACCCACTTCCTCCACACTAAACTCAAGAGACGGTAAAGAAAGAAAATAAATCGGATCAAGGGTAGCAGAGATGGTGGGGTGAACAGTCCATCTTTATCAATGAGCGAAAATTTCAACCGATGCCGAAGAAATTACAATTTGAATT